AGGTGACCCGGCTGAGTGGGACCAGGAAATACTGGAATCCACATCCTCCCTGGGGTGACGATTAGCGAACGAAGCCCCCCAGGGCCAGGGTCAAGTGCAGGGCACTTTCTCTTCCAAGTCAGACACACTCCAGGGGGAGGGGGGAGGTGAGGGTCGGTGACCCAGACAGAACCGGTCCCCTCCCCCCATCCTCTCTTCTCATCTTCACACCCGGACTCCCACGGAGATGAGATGGGCCTTCTGCTCTCTGGGGGCGTAGGACCCCTGGTCTTTGCCCAGACCCCTCACTCACAGCGACACTTCCTGTCCACCACCTGCCTCAGGCCCCAGACCCACCTCATCCTGAGACCCAGCTTGCATCTGTTCAACCGCACCCCCCACCCCCGGCTGTCTCCTGCTCCTGCAGGGAGGGGGCTTTACTCTGCCCCATCCCCCCACCCCGGGCAGGACCCCTCTGTCAGCAGCGTTAGAAACTGCTGCAGACACGTAGGATGCCCACGAACTGGAAGGTCAGGGGTTTGAGTCCCCGCAGCGGCTCCTCAGGAGGAAGCCCTTGCTTGCAGTCTGCTTCAGCCAGACCCCGTGTGCCCAGCACCAAGCACACAGCATGCCCCATTTCACAGGTAAGACACCGAGGCCCAGGTGACCACACAGGCTCTCCGTAGTCACAGAGCCCAGAGCGGGTGACCTGGGGTCTGCGAGGGACCCCCACCCCCACCCCTCCACCCTAGCCCGTTCCCAGGGCGGGGGGAGAAGGAGACAAGGGATTTCAGTGTACTTTCCCCAAGCCGCTGGCTGGCCAAGGTCCCAGCGCCCCGCCTGCAGGGTCCAGCCCTGCCCTCAGACGGGGCCTGTGGCCTGCCTGTAGAGTCAGGACAAAGGTGCCCATTCAGGGGGGGCACACAGGGCCTGCTTTGTCCTCTGAGGGTGCTGCAGCCCGCTGCCCCCCAAACCTGGTGCACTATTCACCCCAGCGGAGGCTGGGTCTAGGCTGGGGACACACAGGGTGGCCGGGCTGTCTCCCTGGCCTTTGTCCTTGTCCTCAGGTCCTGGCAGCTGGTGGGGCCCAGACCAGGCCACTGCCCAGCTCCTGGCATCATCTGGGGCTCAGGCATGGCGCCCTGGGAGCCATCCTCCTGGCCAAGGCTGGCTTGAAGGATGCAGGCTGCGGGATTTTATCTGAGTGCCCATGCCTGAGACCTAGAGAACCCCCTTCCAGAACAGAGTGGGAGGCAGAAGGGAGCATGTGTGGCCACTGGGTGCCTGGGTCACACACCCCATGAAGATGCAGGCTGGGAAATCCACGTGGGGGACTGAGTGGCCGTGGCCCACGATTAGACTCCAGGCCCTGCTGGGTGACTGCTCCACCTCTCTGAGCTCACCTCAGATCCTAAGCAAAAGGAGGCCCACAACACCTGCCAAGATGAGGCTGGGCATGTGCCCGGCACCCAGGCTGGTCCCAAAAGGCTCACACAATGAACAGGGGTTCGGGGGCAAGGTCTACTCTTGACAGCGTGTGCTCCATTCCGATTACGGCCAAGAGGACCCTACGGGGCAGTTCTCTGTAGGTCCCGGGTCACCAGGTATGGTAGTTACCTAATCTGGGGTCAACTTGCGAAGGGTGGGGAGTCTAGCCTGCCAACCAGGTCACAGCTTGAAGGTCGAATTTGGAGACACTATGGAGCTAAATAGCTCACTGGAGGCCAGATACACAC